TCAAACCCGGTTCTCCCAGATTAGAGAAGAAGAAGAGGAGAAGGAGATTGGATTTATACACTGCCCTTCACAACCCAAAGGAGTCTCAGAGTGGCTTACAAACTCCCTTCCCCTCCCCAAAACAGACACCCTGTGAGGTAGGTGGGGCTGAGAGAGCTCTGACAGAAACGGCTCTTTTTCAAGCACAGCTCTTATCAGAACCACGGCTTGCCCAAGGTCATCCAGCCAGGTGCGAGTGGAGGAGCGGGGAATCAAACCCGGTTCTCCCAGATTAGAGAAGAAGAAGAGGAGAAGGAGATTGGATTTATACACTGCCCTTCACAACCCAAAGGAGTCTCAGAGTGGCTTACAAACTCCCTTCCCCTCCCCAAAACAGACACCCTGTGAGGTAGGTGGGGCTGAGAGAGCTCTGACAGAAACGGCTCTTTTTCAAGCACAGCTCTTATCAGAACCACGGCTTGCCCAAGGTCATCCAGCCAGGTGCGAGTGGAGGAGCGGGGAATCAAACCCGGTTCTCCCAGATTAGAGTCTGCGCACTTAACCCACTACACCAAACTGGCTCTCAATTTAGTAGAAAAAGAGGTGCAGGAGCTCATTAGCATAGCTCATTAGCATAACTCATTTGCGTATGCCACACCACCCAACATCACCGGAAGTGTGTCAGAGGGCAACACCCACCGCGACTTACCTGGCTGCTTCTCGCTAGAATTCCATAGAGCGGTAAAGACTGAGCTGTTCCGGCAAGCGTTTCAATAGCTCAGACCACACTGACGGTTATAGCACTTTATAACAGAAAGCCGCCACGTCTTAATCTCAATTTTAATAAGTGTATTTGGATATCTTATTGACTGTATTGTTTTAGACTTATATTGTATTAATTGTTATGTTGGTTTTAAACTATTGTAAGCCGCCCTGAGCCGCCTTGGGGGAGGGCGGGGTAAAAGTCTAATAAATAAATAAATTTTAAAAATAAATTGCTCCTCGTGGCCCGGGGTTGCTGGGAGCAGGGGGCGGGGCTTGTTGCATGTGTCCGCCCCCTGGGCTCTTTACTGCCGGAGCGCCGCTCCCGTGCGCTCCCGCAGGAAATGACCCCTGATTCCAGCCAACGTTTTCCTGCTCCTAAAACAGACCTTTCTCCCAGGTCCTCCCTGCAGCGTCCAGACGAGGACCCAGGCATGCCCCGGAGCTTGTGTACCTACCTTCCCAAGTGGTTGAGGCCTGCCACTGCCTGGGTCGGGCAGCCAATGAAGAAGAGGGGAAGCTTGAAGAGGAGGCAGAGGCCCATGCTGGTGACGCACAGGAGGGTGCTCTGCTTGAGGGACAGGCGGAGCTTCTTCATGATGATGCCCCCCAGCAGGATTCCCAGCATAGCCGTTGGGAGGTTGACGGCACCTGCGGGAGGGAAGGAAGAGGGTGGAACTCAAGCACTGCCCCGGCGCGGCAGACCAACCCAGGCCCTTTGCTCGGCATATTGCTGAACTCAGACTTCGGAGCAGGGTTACAACCTCCAGCTGGGACCTGGGGATCTCATCAGAACCTCAGAAGAGCCCTGTTGGGATCAGACCAGGGAGGATCCATCTAGTCCGGCATCCCGTCATACACAGCGGCCAGCCAGTTCCTCTGGAGGGCCAAACACGGGGCAGGGAGGCCGAGGCCTTCCCCTGATAAGAACCTCAGAAGAGCCCTACTGGGTCAGACCAGTGAGGGTCCCTCTAGTCCAGCCTCCTGTCTCACAAAGGGGCCAGCCAGTTCCTCTGGAGAGCCAACAACAGGGCAGAGAGGCCGAGGCCTTCCCCTGATAAGAACCTCAGAAGAGCCCTACTGGGTCAGACCAGTGAGGGTCCCTCTAGTCCAGCCTCCTGTCTCACACAGGGGCCAGCCAGTTCCTCTGGAGGGCCAACAACAGGGCAGAGATGCTACTCCTATCATTGGGTGTGATTTGGATTATCGCCATCATCTGTCAGTTTTATTTGTAAACTGTTGCGGTTTTGGTATTGTATTTATAAATCGTTTTAATTCTGTATTCTTATGCCAATAACTGTATTGTATTTGTAACTCTGTATTGTTTATGTTATTGTAACTCTGTTAGCCGCCTTGAGCCAGCATGCCCGGCAAGGTGGGATACAAACAGAAATAATAAATAAATAATAAATATGTGTGTCATAATAAAATGTAATGCCAGGTAGCGGAGATATAAACTTTATAAAGGACGCAAAGACAAAGGGTGGGTTTAAAATAAAAACATCCTTAAAACATTAGCACTCTTGCAACATTTTGTTTATTTAACAGTGTCTGATAACTGACACCTCTGGCTCTGAATGATTGCCTCGAAACGTCTGTGCTGTTGCAATCTTGAGTGTGCTGTTCGGGTGTGTACCTGTAAGCTGCAAACCTACGATACATACATACATAAACCTTTACTGGCATAACCAAAAACCTACGATGACGCAGCAGCAGCAGAACTGGAAGAGGAAGCAGAAGACAGCCAGTTCCATGGCGGGCCTGATAGAAGCCCTCCGGGGGCCTGATCCGGCCACTGGGCCGCATGTTTGACACCCCTGCCTTAGAGGGAGCATTGCTGGGAATGCCAGGTAATAGGATCCGGAAATCCTCCGATAGACACAGGGAAGCAATACACACACACACACCCATACGTGTTGACGTACCTATGAGCATGTTGGCAAGCGAAGCCGTGAGACTAAACTGCAACTCCAGGAATTTGCCCAGGAAGGTGGCCAGGCCTGCCACCATGGCGGAGAGATTGATCAGGGCCAAGATCGTCATGACGAAAAAGAGGTTCTTGAAATTTCTGATCAGGACCACGGGAAACACTGCAGCGGGACAGAGAAAAATGTTAGCAAACAACAGACTGTCGCCTTTGCGTGAAACAGCGAGAACGGGGATCGCAGGTTAAAGGTCGATATCTAACTTCACGTGCCCCAGAAGGTCGGACACCAGCACCGACGGGTTGACATTAAATCGGAGGAGCTTTCGGCTTAAC